GAAAATCTGTTGGCCATAGTGAACAAGAATCTGCCAGAATTGGGATTAAAGCGCCAAGATTGCATCGAAATGAGTTGGCTTAACTCTACGGTATTCTGGGCTGATTTCCCTGCCGGAACGCCGACGACTGTGCTTCTGGATAGGCCAACGAGCCCGGGAATTTCATTCAAGAGCAAGTCAGATTACGTCAAGAGACCGATCCCGAAGGAGGGAATGGAGAAGATGTGGAAGAGCATGCTGAAGTTTAACAGCTTGTGGATGCAGTGGAATCCGTACGGTGGAGTGATGGACCGTATCCCGGAGACTTCCACACCGTTCCCTCACAGGAAAGGGAACTTGTTCAAGATTCAGTACTTTGCCATATGGACCGACAATAACTCCACAGACACGAATCTGAATCTGATGAATGAGCTGTACAAAGTTGCGGAACCGTACGTGTCAAGTAACCCTAGAGAAGCGTTCCTGAACTACAGGGACATCGACGTCGGAAGCAATCCGAGTAATCAGACAAACGTGGAAGAGGCTAAGGTCTATGGAACAAAGTATTTCCGGGGAAATCTCAAGAGACTGATGGCAGTGAAAACCAAGTATGATCCTTCCAACTTCTTCAAGAACGAACAAAGCATTCCCCCGACCTTCATCCCAAATTGATAGACTTTATGTTTAGAAATTATTTGGACACATCGGTCCGATAAAATAAAATGAATCAGATTTAAGTCTCTGTGTTTTATATTCTTGTTCTGTAGACTATTAATTGCAGAATCAAAGTATGTTTTGTTAACTTGTATCTTGAATTCTTCTTCAATCTATGGAAGCCTGGCTTGAAATGTATAAGTATACACGCATATATATATATATATATAAAATCATGAACTTGGTGTATATGTTATTGAATAAAAAATATAATACTATAAAAATTAAATATGATAAAAAAATTTATATTAATTCAAATTTAATATTAAATTAATTTTCTAATTTTTTAAAGATATCAATAATAATTAAAAGATGTATTTTAAAACTGAAAATGAATTATATTTATGAAAAAAATCTTGACAGAACTTTACACCACACAAGAACCCTAACAATTCTCTAAATTCAACCGACTCTAAACGCGCCTAATTCCTCCATAGTTCATTCTATCGCAGAGACAAACAAAAAGCCATGAATGCGACAAGTGGGAAAACCAAAATCCTAGAATTTGACCTGATTAGCCCCGGAACAAAGAGATAAAAGAGCAAACTTTGAACCGAAATCCAAATCCAATCCAAAGCGTGACCCTCTGCATCGAAATCAAATCGGATATCGCAGGAATTAAACCCCCGAATTGAACGAAGAAGAAATTAAAAAAAAAAACTCAGAAATTTTGTAAAAGGAAAAGAAAAATCCTTCTCAATCACACCGATTGGAGATAGGTAGGAATCGATTCAAACACCTGCGATATATATATATATATTAATCATAAATCATTTCAACTTTGAAACACTACTTTTATAACAATATTTAAGTTATAATTTTATATCGGAGTTTGGTACATGATATTTCCTTTTATTATAATGTCAATGATTGGATGAAAAATTGCTTTGGATCTGGATCTGATTTATCAATACATACCACACCAGTCACCACACATTCTCTCTCTCTCTCTCTCTCTCTCACAGCACGTGACTTGAAAGAACGATGAAGTTGCAGAGCTTCTTGATCTCTCTTGCGTTATTGATTGCGTTGAAGTCTCCTGTTCTTGCTCTAGCCTCCAGCTCCTTTGATCCCTTTTTCCAATGTCTCTCTCTCCACTTAAACGACTCCAAACTAGTCTCTAGAGTCATACACACCCAAAACTCCTCTTCCTTCTCTGAAATCTTACATTCATCGGTTCAAAATCCAATCTTTTCATCTCCCGAAACCCCTAAACCGATCTCCATCGTCACTCCCCTCGAAGCTTCTCACGTTCAAGCCACCATCAGATGCGCAAGACGATACAGTGTCCACATCAGAACCCGAAGTGGAGGGCATGACTACGAAGGCCTCTCTTACGTTGCCCCTACCGAATTCATCGTCATCGACTTGGCTAATCTCCGGTCTATTAGCATAGATTCCCATACCCAGACCGCTTGGGTCCAAGCCGGAGCTACAGCCGGGGAACTGTATCATGAGATTGCGAAAAAGTCCAAGACTTTGGCCTTTCCGGCCGGTCTTTTCTCCACGGTCGGAGTTGGAGGTCAGTTTAGCGGTGGAGGGTTCGGTACTTTGCTGAGAAAATACGGTTTAGCCGCTGATAATATAGTCGACGCGCAAGTGGTTGACTCGAGGGGGAGGTTTCTTGACAGGCAAGGCATGGGAGAGGAGTTCTTCTGGGCTATTCGTGGAGGTGGTGGGTCAAGCTTCGGAGTTGTTCTGTCATGGAAGATACAGTTGGTGGATGTTCCCTTGACCTTAACAGTGTTCAACGTCACGACAACAACAGAACAAGAAGCTGTGAAGATCATCCAGCGATGGCAGAACATTGCAGACAAGGTCACTGACGATCTGTTCATCCGGGTCATGTTGCAGAAATCGGACAAGGCAAGGGTTCGTGCATCGTTCCCAGGGCTCTATCTCGGTCCAGTGGACAAGCTATTGCCCATAATGGACAAGGAGTTTCCAGAACTCGGTCTCGCGAGGGAAGACTGTAAGGAGATGAGCTGGATAGAGTCGGTTGTCTGGTTTGCAGAGTACCCAGAGGGAACATCCATCGACGTTCTTGCGAAACGCAAGCGTTCGTCAAAGTCTTTCAAAGGAAAATCCGACTTCGTCGAAGAACCGGTACCTGAGCACGCAATCCGAGAGCTATGGAGAAGATTACACGCACCAGAAGCCGAAATGGCTAAGCTGATTCTCACTCCGTTCGGTGGAAAAATGAGCCAAATCGCGGAGAATGGCGGTGGATTTGGGATTGAAGAGACGAGAGATGGAAACGACGGCGATGAGGAGCATGAGGATGACTCCGGCGAAGGCGGCGATTAGGGCTCCGCCGCCATGGTCGCAGTAAGTCTCGAACTTGTCGCATATCTTTTCCCACCTCGCGTGTTTGTTTCCATTCTTCCCCACCTCCGCCATGAACGCCGCCGCGTTTGCGGCTGGCGCACGTCACCATGGAAGAAGCGATACCAATTTTAATGGCGGTGACTCTGAAGCCGCAGAATTTGAGGACGAGGCCGATGCTACTGGCCGTGACGCCTTTGCCAAGTCCACTCACCACTCCTCCTGTAACCACCACGTACTTCATCTTCTTCTCTGGCTCCTCTGTTTTTCTCTTCTCTTTTCGTTGGCGGCTGCCGACACTAACGCCGCGTTCATCTTTTCATTTCGCGTTTCCCCCACACAGCAAAGAAACGTCATCAGTATGTACGCATATATATATGTAAGAGATAGATTGAATTCATATATATATCATGATTAACTGTGAATGTATGTGTGTGTGTGTGTATGTACCATGTCGAGAATGGCGACGGAAAGGAGGCGGAAGCCCTTGTAATCTAATTTCCGGAAGAATATCTGAACGGTCATCATCAGCAAGTTGTGGAAACTCACCATTGCATTAGCTACTACAAAGAACCTGGTTTTTTCCCCATACATTATATATTGTTTCCATCAGTTGTCAGTAAAAGTCCATGACAGTAATAAACTAAGCCATGTACCTGTCTGAAATTGATCAGACTAGTTCCATGGGTTTCTCAGAGATATCATTGGTTAGGACAAGAATTTAAATGTGATTAGATTCCGTTTAATGTACACGTGAACAGAAACAAAAGATCAAAGCACAAGTAATTGCTTCAACTTTGATTCTTTAATGTCATTGCCCGTAAACATCTGGATCATGAACTCGGAGTGACATGAGCAGATAATGATCGGACCCTTATTACAGGATCAAAGGTTATGTGGTTATATGATGAGAAAAACAAGGAAGAAAAGCTTACACAAAAGCCGGAGTGTGCTGAAACTTGGCAGTGACATTGGCTTTGATAGGAGTAGTGCCAACGGTGGCCACGACAAACGTCTTTGTCTCCTTGTTGAGTCCCATCACAATGGCTGCAGCTAACGTTGCCAAGAACGCAAACAGCCTCAGCACCAACAATATCTTCCAACTCTTCTGGTTTTCGGTTGCCATCTTAGGTTTCTCCCCGGTCTCAGCTGGAGCAGCCATTGTTGCAGAATATTGTGATACAAAGTTACAAGAGTGCGAATGTATGTAACGATGGAGGGGACAAAGAAGATGTTTGCATTATATAAAGAGTTGTGGAGATTGTTTTTGGTCTCACTGGGGGGTGGGGATGGGGTGGTCTGACCATCTAACTTTGAGTTTTTGTAAGTTTTATTTATTTTTAGGTTATGGTTGTTGTGAATAATCAGTGAAAATGGTTAGATCTTATTCTTTTGTGGCAAGTTATCATGTCTCCTGTTCATGTTATTATTTGAACATTCAACCCACATTCTGAACAGGTCTTATCTACCCAGCGCTAGTTTGACCGTAGCCTTCTGAAAAAAATTGGTTTACTACTGTCCGAATCCTATAAACTATCTCCATGCATGCATGTCGAAAAAAATATTGTGAATGTTATAACTAAGAGGAGTATATATTAGTATTATACATACCATCATATTGTCTTATGAATGTCGGAATACAATGGACTTTCAAGAGTCTGCAACACAAAGAAGATCACACTTCCATGCGGTGAAAGAAAAGAGAGAAGAAAAAAACAGAAGGAACAAAACCCTTTCTCATGAAACCCACAAATTCCACATTATGCAAAAGCCTCCGGGTTAAAAAGGAACCCCAAAGTCATACATACATACATTATATATATATATATATATATCAACAGACAGTTCTGATTGTATGTAATATGCACAAACCAACCGCAGAAATAGATGAGAATGGATCTCCAAAAACTGCCCCTGGTTATTTTTTATCGGTCGTGACTCCAACCACAACATTGCTTACCTGCAGTTATTATTACAACATTCGTCCGATTTCAATCCATAGTATACAAAAACCAGTCATGTGATTTTGTCAAACATCATGGGCAGTAGTATTCTACACTCACCAATTTCCCACTTTCATCAACAGACATGGGGTTCTCCACGACAACAGTTTGTGTCTGAGTAGGACAACAACGAAACGAGTAAGTACCCTTTGAGCTGTTCAACCACATTTTATATGAGATTAATATGAAGTTGTATTTGATAACTCACAGTGGATGTAGAGGGCATTGTCCCGGGAGTAGCTGTTCCATTTGGCCGGTTTGCAGGGATATGTGGCCTTGCATTGCCCATCTGTAGCAAATCAAATGTATAAAATCAGAGACCATGTTCTATCACAATAATCTTCAAAATATACTCAGGATTTATGAAAATTGATATCTAAGGATGAATATAGGAAATCTCTGTTACCCACATTAACGTTTGTAACGTATTGGCAGATTGCACATTTAACAGATGATGCTCCATAAGGATACATGAGTGTTGTCCGACAATGCCCACAGTTGATATGTGCCACCTGATTGGTGTGTGCTTTTGACATACACATGGTACCAGCAATTTAGAGAAATATTGATAAAGGAAGAAAACTAGCATTGTTCTTAGCTGCAATCTAGGATGGTAACAATAAAAACAAACATCCAGATGGCCACCAATAAGAAACAGTTAAAGTAGATTATGGCTTTGAATGGGGATGGTTTTTATTTTGGGTTTTTGGTTTTAGTATTTAGATTTTTGTTTTTAGTTTTTGGTTTTAGGTTTTTGGATTCTATAATATTTGAAAACTAAAAAAAGTAGCTTTTGGTTTTTCATTGATGTTTCCACTAAAACGGCTTTCCAAGTTTCTAGCAAAAGTAATTTTGTGAAAACTTGAATGGTAGTTTTTTGGTTTCTGGATTCTAAAAACTCTAAAAACTCCAACCATTCAAGGCATTTGGACTTGGCGGTCAACATTAGAAATGGTAACACAAAAGAGTGATACTGCTACTGTTCTGTAAGCCATTTGGACTTGAACAAGTAGACATACAGGCCATAGGCCCATAGTTACCATAAATATCTATGAAACAGGAAAGGCGGAGCAAGGAACAGCTTATGACACAAAGAAACATTCATCATACTTCTTAAACCTTCTTTTAGCTTCCTTTACACTACTCTAGAATAATAGCGTGTTCTGATTCAGGTATATATATTTGGGAAGTGTACAACCTCATGTAGGAATCCCGAGAGAACAACACAACACAAACAATAAGAAGGAGCACTGATGACGGGTGAGAGCAAAAGACTTTTCAGCACTCAAAGAGATTAGTTGATTGTACCTGGTACAAGGTTCAAAGTCTGGCAGCAAGAACATCTTACGCTATTTGCCCCTCGTGAATACATAAGCATTGTCCGGCAACCACCACAAATAATGTGAGCCATGTCCACCCCTGCGCGGACTTTGTTCAGAGACATTAGGGAGAGAAGGCTCCTCTATTCTCCTCTAATACTAACTACTCTAAAGGTTTTGTTCCTCATAAGATAATCTTCCTATAATCAAAGCTGAAATCTCGAATGCTGTAAGCTTTGTTCTCATCCTGATTCTACAGCAAGTGATGATCAAGGTGAGGCATGTGAGCCCATTTTTAAACCCCACTTTTTCATTCAACTGGTCGAGTAGAGGGTAATATGATTTTGCAAATTCCCTAATCATTCGATATAGCAGCAACAATAGCACAAAATCTGAAAATCTCAAGAACAAAGCAAAGAAAATGATACCAGGAGGAGGAGGAGGAACAATGTTGATCATGCTACATAAGGCGCAACATACATTTGTTGCTCCTCTAGGATAGAGCAAAATGCTTCTACACCCATGGCATACGAGCTGGTCCTGCATATCTGCCATGTCCACAACCAAAAATCAATGCTCAAAAGGAATCTCCTTTGACAGAACTTTACACCACACAAGAACCCTAACAATTCTCTAAATTCAACCGACTCTAAACGCGCCTAATTCCTCCATAGTTCATTCTATCGCAGAGACAAACAAAAAGCCATGAATGCGACAAGTGGGAAAACCAAAATCCTAGAATTTGACCTGATTAGCCCCGGAACAAAGAGATAAAAGAGCAAACTTTGAACCGAAATCCAAATCCAATCCAAAGCGTGACCCTCTGCATCGAAATCAAATCGGATATCGCAGGAATTAAACCCCCGAATTGAACGAAGAAGAAATTAAAAAAAAAAACTCAGAAATTTTGTAAAAGGAAAAGAAAAATCCTTCTCAATCACACCGATTGGAGATAGGTAGGAATCGATTCAAACACCTGCGAACTCTCTGCCCCGCTAATCCCCAATTAGCGGAGGATAACAATTAGGTTTTGCGGATTCGACAATGAAAAAGGGGACAGATTTGAATTTTCGCCTCTCTCCTATCTCTCTCCCCAATTTTCTCTCTCGCGTTCGATAAATCTGAAACTCTCGTAATTTTGGTTTTGCGTTTGGATTTGACCGTGTACTTTCCTTCGGGGATCCGTTTGCCCGTTTCGTCAAATGCGTGGACTGATTCCACCGTTTGGCCTCAAAACGCGCGTTTATATTGAAACGGAGACGCGTTTGTGATTCACGACCAGTGGGATTATCCAAATTAAAGAGTAAATCACATGGCTTATTTTGTTGTTGTTACTAATTAAATGGTGGATTTACTCTTTTTTCACAACCAATTAAAGAAAACCTGGAATAAAAGATGGATTTAAAATTCAGAGAATGAAAATTTTAATTTAAAATTTACAAAATATAATCGAATTTCCTGAAAAAATAAAGTACTGAAGAAAACAAAAAGGAACATGTTATTGTGAATCAAATAATTTTGGGAAGATCTGTAACGGCTAGTTCCAAAGTACCGTTGAATAATTAGAGCACGCTCCCCAATACTTAGAAAGGTGTAGGGTTCATGAGAGAGAGAGAGAGAGAGAGAGAGAGATCACTCCTTCCTTCACTCTGATTCTCTGCACATCGCTAACGCAACGGCGTAATTAGGGTTTTTTTTTTCACAAGCACGAGGATTAGGGTTTGTCGGCGACTTCGTTGCTCGATTAAGAGGGCCGAGAATATAATCAATCGTCATGAACATCTTCAGAAAGAAGACTTCCCCCAAAGGTAAGCTCAAATTCTTCCCTTTTTTTCTTGGGGTATTCTTTAATTTTCTGGTTTTTCTCTCTCTACATTTACAGCTCCTTTCATCTCCGATAATCGTTGCTTGTAGTGGTGAAATTTTTAGCTAAAGGGTTTTAGTAGACCCATCTGTCATTGTTCCTAGGGTTCTAGGAAAATTCTGGAAAATGTCGCCTGTATTTCACCATTGCTTGTTTCTTACTCTGTAGATGGACATTTTTGTGGGTTCGTGCTTCCAGGAAATTAGGGAAAATTAAGTTACAGAATGTATCGTCGTGCCGTAGCTCCGAATAAGTAACTTATCCGGATTCAGTTTTTTCCCAAGTGATCGGATGTTTTCCTTTTTTGAATCTTTCCGGGAAAATTTATTTCTTTATGCAGATGCTCTGCGCACTAGCAAGAGGGAAATGACTGTTGCTACACGAGGTAATGCTCCTCTCTCTCTTTAGAATTAAAGTATGGTTTTCCTAATCTTCCTTTGTAATTCTGAAAGAGTTAGCCTGATCTGAACTGAGTTTGGACAGATGGTCATATTTTCCGGTTATTGATTTGCATTGTTGATAATATGAACTCTTTCTTCACTCGAGTTCCCTGTTCTCACTAAACATTTAAATAAAGGCAACAAATCCAGTTCTATTTCGTTGTCTAAGTTGAAAGAGAAGGAGCGATTTGCAATGCCTCCATGTCACCTGCTTTCTTGCCAATGTCATTGCAGGTATTGAACGTGAGATCTCATCTCTTCAATTGGAGGTACTTGATTTTTTTCTTTTTCATCCCCCTCCCCTCCCCCCGCTGGATCTTTTATCCACCACTATAATATTATGTTATTTTTCTTACTTGTTTAATGACATGTTGTTTAGGAAAAGAGGCTAGTGGCAGAGATCAAGAAAACAGCTAAGACTGGAAACGAGGCAAGTTTCGACTTCCTCCCCATTGTAGCGAAGCCAGATCTCGCTTCATTTGAAGAGCTGTGGACTTGATCATTGCAATCCTTTTTTGGTGCTTATTATGCATTAGGCTAGTAGAGGTTGAAGTTTCACTTTTGGTCTTTACAAACGCTTACACTGGTTTGTTCAGCTAAGCAAATTGACAAATGCGATCAAAGGCTAGAAAATTTCTTTTTAGTAATCAAGTTTTATACTTGGGAGGAAGCATGAAAGGGACCACAGTTACAGTTTCCAACGCCTTGAGCTTTGTTAAGAGAACAAGATTACTTTATGCATTAACTCTAAAAGTTGGGCTTTGAATTTTTGCTTCTTGACATATGTACACTAGGAGTTAGATACATTTCTCACTTAGATTTCAATATCATATCCCAAAAAAAGCACACGCAAAAGTTGCTGACTAGAGTAGGAACTGTCCCGGCAGTTAGGAGCCCTTCAATTGCCTTAGTTTGCAGTCGATTTGACCCATCTCAGCCAGTGTATTTCTTGAAATCCGGTTTTCGCAATATATCTTGCAATTTGAACATAGACTGTCTGGGTACAGTTTCTGACAGTCTCCTCATAACATGTTTCTTCACGCTACTCTCCTAAGTTTTATTTCTATCTGGCTGTTTTATTTGTTTAAACATTCTATCAGGCGGCCACCAAGATTTTAGCTCGTCAACTTGTTCGTCTGAGGCAACAGATTACCAACTTGCAGGGAAGTCGGGCCCAAATTAGAGGTGTAGCGACTCATACACAGGTACTTCCCAGTGCTAGTTTACATCGACTAAAGAGATATTTAAAGTTTGCATATTTCACGTACTAAACATCAATTATTGGTTTCTTTCGATTTGATAGGCCTTGTATGCTAGCACCTCAATTTCGTCTGGCATGAAGGGTGCAACCAAGGCTATGGTTGCCATGAACAAGGTATTCAAAGACTGATTATGATGTGTGTGAAAAAATTGTATCGAAGATCCCGTTGCAGGTTTTACATCAGAGGAACCCTTAATAATTGGATTGGCAAAATTTTACTCAACTTCTAGTTGCAGGCTGATAATCCAGAAAACCACAACGAGCAAGACACATTCTAGCTTATCACAGTGCACTCCATTCCATAGTCACTATTCCTTTTTAACGATTCCACACGTTTATAGTTTTTACTTTTTTGTGCATTTTCAGCAAATGGCACCCATAAAACAAGCCAAAGTGATCAAGGAATTCCAGAAACAATCTGCACAACTGGACATGACGGTAACATTATTTCTTTATGCTGACTGTTCCTCTTTTCTGGTTAGTTCTTAGCACGTAACTCCAATTCTCAGGCTCAATATTTACAACACTGTAAGAACACTGGTAACTGGGCTGAGGTAGACACATGGCATTAGACTTTGTCATGTTTTTATTTTCTTTTGTTTTCTGTTCTTCGCAGATAGAGATGATGTCAGACGCTATTGATGAAACGCTAGACAAAGATGAGGCTGAAGAGGAAACAGAAGAGCTTACCAACCAGGTATGCAATTTTTAGCACCCACATATATATGAACTTTTTCTTTTTCCTTTCCCAAGAGTTTCCAGTTTCGTCTATCTGCTATGGGTGCTTACATCTTTGTCCTTGCTATATGCTATAGGTGCTCGATGAGATTGGTGTCGGTGTTGCATCTCAGGTTGGTTTCTTTCCTTACGAAACTGATCTGATGAAAGTATACTCTCATTTCTCAAGCGAGTTTTGCGTAATCTGTTTCTTCCTTTTTGCGTAACAGTTATCTTCAGCTCCAAAGGGTCGGATTGCAACAAAAACCGCTGCTCCAACAACCGGTAATAACAACAGCGAAAACAACAGGTATGAAGGAAGCTTTGATTCATTTAGTTTGATCAATGGCACAATTACAGAACAACTGTTACTGCATTGCATCTGGATGAATGTTATTCTGACTGCTAAAAATTGTCACAGCACCGAATCTCCTGAAGTGGAGGAGCTGGAGAAGAGGTTGGCATCACTGCGAAGGATCTGAGATATGAACCACTAGGGCCAACGTATTGAAGAGAAGGAAAAAAACAGCTCCCCCTTTATGTGTAAAAATCTGCTATAAGTGAACTCAGGTTGCTTGAAAGTAGTTGTAACCAAAAGACTTTTTTCGATAAAGTGTAACCAAAAGACTTCAGATTGCGAATATACATATATACGTATAACCTTTAGATACGTAATTATATTTTACATGTATTATATAGTATGAGTTTCACAGTCATGTTCATGATTATTACACAGGTTTTGGTGGTACTAAATTATTAGTTTATTAACCCGTAACCGTGTTGGCCTGTTCAAACATGTACAAAACTTGCAGATTTCACCAATGAGAAGAAATTATACGTATATTATGACTGAACTGTTCTTTGGTTCATGGTTGGAAATCGGATTGTAGAATTTTCATTTTTTGACATGAAATGCTCCTCGTTTTCCGAATGAAATACAAGGGAAATTACTCAAGGAACGAAAGGTCAGCTTATCGGTGGCTGATGCCTTCCTTTGAAATTTCTCGCGAGCCTTCTCTCGCTATATATATACATACACACACATACAGGAGATATAAGAGTGTGGTATCAAGAGGAAAACAAAATGGAGACGAAGGCGGCGATGCGTTGGGGTCTTGTGCTCTTTCTGCTTCTGTTTCTTCTTTATGTCCCATACAGCAACTCTCGTGCTCTTCGTGCTTCAGAAACACATCTCCCATTCACCGGTTTGTCTTTCCACACATCCATAGACAAAAAAACATGTTACACCTAAGAACATACATAAAATCTTATCAACATTGTTTTTTTTTTCTGATAGCTAAGATCGTATAAGATTGTATAAGACTGTATATTGATTGGTGAATGACATATTGTTATAAAAAATTAAACATTGAAAAGGGAAGAAGACGATGCAACCTGATGAAGATTGCCGTAATCCGACAAACATAGAGACACCACCTTCCTGCAGTCCGAGAGCTCGCGGAAGTTCCCACGTCTCTGGAGCCAACTCGCCTTAGCTTTTCATTAATTTGTGTCATTGATACGTGAGAATCGATGTTATCCACTTCCAACCAATACAAAAAAAAAGAGAGTCGTTGTTATATGTACTTTCCGTACGGTTTTATGTGTTATGGTGGATATTTCACTCGAATATCCATGTATGTCGAAATATACTGTAATACTACTTATTTCATTCTCTATATAAGAGAAGCAAAGAAAGAAAAGGCGTCACATTCGGCTATTGTGATACCTTACGAGGAAATGGCCTTCCAAATTTCAGACATCCAGAACATTCACATCCCGTGCCAATGTCTGAGAAACATTGGTCATAAGATCATGAATTTGGTGATGAAGAACAAATAATACTGCCACATACATAATGTGGATTCTGAGAGATTTCAGCAGCTAAGATGAAGTGATGCACCACAAGATTTATGCCAATTTGACATTTTGATGCAAAAAAACTAGTTGCAAGACAATCTCACCAGATGGGGAAGAGAGATCAAGCACAACTTCTCACTATCTACCATTGCATCATTCGATGATGGACTGAATAACTCCTGCCCCGACCGTTTTCCCTCCTTCCCGGATAGCGAATCTCATTCCTTGCTCACAAGCAACCGGCATGATCAGCTCCACGACCATCTTCACACGGTCACCCGGCATTACCATCTTCGATTCCTCGTCTTTATCGTTCATAATCTTAGTCACTTTACCAGTCACATCAGTTGTTCTCATGTAGAACTGAGGCCTGTATCCTGCAAAGAATGGTGAATGCCTTCCCCCTTCCTCTTTCTTCAACACATACACAACGGCCTCAAACTTTGTGTGAGGAGTAATGGATCCTGGCTTGGCCAACACCATTCCTCTCTGTTTATCATCCTTTTGCACTCCTCTAAGCAACAGGCCCACATTGTCTCCGGCCATGGCCTCGTCAAGGATCTTCTGGAACATTTCCACACCAGTGACTGTGACGTTCCTGGTTTCTTTCAATCCGACAATGTCCACTGTCTCTCCTACCTTGACGGTTCCTCTCTCAACACGGCCTGTGGCATCTGTACCACGACCAGTGATGGAGAACACGTCTTCAATGGCTAACAAGAATGGCAGATCAGTCTGCCTCTGCGGAATTGGGATGTAACTATCAACAGCATCCATAAGTTCGTAAATTTTTTCGACCCATTTGTTCTCCCCCCTCTTCAAACTAGGATTTTCGGTCAGAGATTCCAGAGCTAGCAGAGCAGAACCGGAGATGATCGGGATGTTGTCACCGGGAAACTCATACGAGGACAGAAGCTCGCGCACCTCAAGCTCCACGAGCTCGAGCAGTTCACTGTCATCCCATGGTCAACGTGGTCTTCCCATGGTCAACGTGGCCGATCGTGCCGATGTTCACGTGGGGCTTCTTCCGCTCGAACTTCCCACGGGCGGCGCGTACGGTGAACGCGCGGCTGGGGCGGCGAGAGACGACGGAGGAGGAGGAGGAGGAGGAGAGATTGATGAAAGAGTAAAAAGGGAGGAAGGAGGAAGAGAGGGTTAGGGATTTGGGCTTACCGGCGGTGGAAATGGAGGCAGAGGGGCAGAGAGAAGATGAAACAGAAGAGGGGTAGGAGCAGAGGAACCTCGAAGAGGTGGAGGAAGAAACGGAGGGAGCAGAAATCACCATTGGAGAATTGGATTCAGATGAACCTAGGGTTTGGGAATTGACGGAGAGGAAGGAGGAGGAATTGAGGAATGTATAGAGAGCGTTCGGCGATTGGAGGAATTTTACTCGATTGGAGGAAAAAAACATCACTCTTTTTTTTTTTTTTTTAAAAAAGACGAAATTACCCTTAATCAATACGCGATTTTTATCCGTTCGAAAACAACTTTGTTATTACAACTTCATAATTAATTCTAAATATAATTACAATTGATTCTAAAAAATATGGCAAAAAAATCATCTGTCTTATATTATTTGTATATCAGTTATATGTTAGTCGTAATAAAGTCGCAAAAAATAAAACGAAAAGGATATTTCGGACTTTTCTAACCGAAAAGTGGGTTAAAATTTAAAAAATTTTTTTTTTTTTTTTCGGTGATGAACATTGAAATTGCTGCTACCCACTTATTTGAGTAATATTCCCACCCTAGGGAGCTTGGGACTCTTTGTCACTGTCCGAGTCTCAATTTTTTTTTTTTTTGACAAAGCCTTTACCTTTTCTGTATTTTTGTTTTCTTTTGTATGGAGGTGAGAGGTATGGCTTTGGAGCTATACACACCATGAAGTGAAAGCGAAGAGATCACTGAAAAGAAGAGAAAAAGAACAAAGAAAAATGGCGGCTTTGAGTTTGGTGGCCATTTCATGTCCACGTTTCACAACATGGAAACGAAAGCTCCTTTCTTTATTCCAAAAGACAATCTTTTCCACTGCCCTTGTTTTATAATTTGGCCTCTGCAGAAACCCAGATTCTCGATTTGCCATTGCCTCAAGAAAAGTGACGATCTTTATGAGAGAGAACGGCGGCAAGAGCGTAGCAAAAGAAGAAGAGGAAGCGTTAACATGTGAATCAAGAGAATGATTGTATATCAAAAGTTGAACAAGTTTCTTCTCAAGTAGAAACTCACATTGAAACATGTTCTAGGTTCTAGCCATCCAAAGATCTTTACCAGCTGACAAATCTTTCATCAGATGCCTTGATCGCTCAGCATCTTTTCTTACACGCCCTTGAAAACATTTCTCTAATGTTGCGTGATGAAGTCTCTACTTTCGCCTGCTTTGTTTGCTTTCCAGTTTTGCCTGGCTTCATCTTCGTCTTCTTTTCCTTGCGAAATGCAAACCAGAAAACTCGGTCCAGCAAGAACAAGGAACACAAACGATATTTTTACTGACACAAAGATTTGACTTGCAACATTTGTCTTAAGATGCGTAAGTGAAACAAACATACGCACCTGTAATGAATCTGGAGTCTCCACGTTATTCTCTACACTGGTTTCTTTCTTTGTTGCTTCAAGAAAATCGAGCCTACAAACAAAGCGAATGCATATCAAAAACCTTGTAAAGAGATAGATTTCTTCTACCCTGTGAATCGGCAAAGAAGGATCTCAGGTTTTCAAGAAAGTCACCCAAGATGGTCATAGAGAAGCTTCAACCAAGGCTCTGTCTTCAGATACTCCCCCACTATCGAAACAGCATCTGCCACTATACCGACAAGAAGCAGGTCAGTGGCAAAGCAATATCCCGTCCTTGAAGACTCTACTTGTGTGAATGAAGACATGTTAGACATGTATAATTTATGAACTCAAAATACACCCTCGAGTAAAAAAAAAAATCTATTATAGAACTCACATGTGCTTTTCTCATCTTGAGCTGCATAGTTCTTGTCCAATCCAGAAAGTGTCTTTTTCAACAGGCATACCTGCATTCATTGAAGTTCAAACAACTTAGTAAAATAAAGATGAACTTTAGTTTTTCTCGTCCCCCAAATCGCCCGGGGATAGATACGAATATGAAAAGATCCAATACGAATATGAAAACATACCTTGCATTTCAACCAAGCTAAAACCTTTGAGTCATTGAGCCGATAGAATTTCATTCCTCCAACCTCTGAGACATCAGAATTCAGAATTAAGAGAAAAAAAAATTGTAAACAAACTTCAACTAAGTAACCTCAGTTTTCACTCATCTGAAAACGGCATTCAAGCATTTAGAGATTCTTGATCTCTCCACGAATGATGGAGAAATTTATATAATACAAATGGTAAAAAGATTATAACTTCCAACAAGAAAGAAAACCTGTTGGTTTAGTTAGTACCCATCACAGTAACGTTTGGGAAAACAGAGCAACGGATCACCTTGAGTTTCACAAACAATTTCCATGCACTTCTCTGCAAGTGACAACAAATGTTGATATCCAGAATACCCCTCCACAAAAACAATGTCATCCAATTGTCTGAACTTCCCAGGATCTTCACCTTTCTACAGTTAGGCCATTCAATAACACATTACTTCATCAACAATAATAACATTAGACTGAAAATTGAAGAAAAAGGAGACGTAAAGAATATAAGTGTGTGCCATAGATTTCTATGAATATTCCATGAATAATTTCAAGTGACGTTGGAATTCTGAGAGAACAATAGAGACCTTCATTCTTGCTTCTTCGAAAATAGGCAACAAGATGAAAACAGGATCAACTGGAGTAGCCATATATAAGCTTCCATCTGTAAACAGAAGATTGTTCTATGACACAAGGAAAATACTATTTACCTACTCATTGGTATGTGATTCATGATCCAATAACATAAATCACTACGAAAGTAACAGTGCCATAAACACAAACACGAGCGAAATCAATGATGGAGTTACCTTCAGAAATGTAATCTCCCAAGAACCAAGAACCGTATGGCTGCTTAAACCAGTGGAGTTCTTGAAGTGCCCCATCATTGAAAAGGTAGCATGTCTCGTTTCCTATCATAAAAACACACGGAGATATCAAAGCATGTGCTGATAAAAGCCTTCCCCACAAACCTGTAGCAGATATACATTCCATTACCTGATTTTGGATGGCGAAGTGTTAATAGTTGTCCGGGATTTTCTGGGCTGCGCTCTGAATCTGCAAGTTAAAACAAAGTGAGGGCTTTAACGATCATGTAGATTAAAACATCAAGAACTACTGCGCTTATTCTGAAACGAGCAAAGTTAACATTCCATAGGAGAAAGAAAGTAAAGAACTAATGTCTCTGACAAAGTCAGCAACAACATCCTGAGAATGACAATACTGATTATCAGTGACAGATAACTTTTCCAACCATTGAGGAACAAAGGCCAACATGCCGTACTCAAATCCCTTAGTCATTGCAGAAGCAACATTATTTAGGTAAGAAAATGAGAAAGATAAGTGACAAAGCGCACGACAAGAACCGAAGGTAGCTAATGTACACGTTTGAACTTCCATTGCCTCAGAGAGAGAGAGAGAGAGCACCTGGGGCGATGAGGACTCGAGTCTTCTCGGCTCCCTCCCACCAAGCCACAGAACCCATCTTCCAAACACAAAAGACTGTACTTTTAGCAGAAATATCTAATCCCAAAACCAGATTCCTTTTCGAAGATCTACACGTCAAGCTTCAGAAATCCTGATTTCCAAGATTCTGTCATCCGCAACACATACCCAAAAAAAGGACTTTTAAGTTGAGTAGACAATCTCAAAGCAGAGAACACTATACGCCAAAACCAAGTCACTCTGAAAGAGGAAACGAACCCAACAGTAACTCTGGCAATCCACCCAAAAAGTTTCAAAATTTGCAGAAACTGGACACGAATTTGATTAAAGTTTCAAAATTTGCAAAACCTAGACATGAATTAGATAAATGTACCATGAAAATGGAAAAAAACGCTCGCTAGGTCGAAGAAGAGCCGAACTCAATCCAAAAGATTGAGATGAAATGGAAAACAAACGAAGAGATGAAGATCAGTTCATTGACAGAAGAAGAAGAAGAAGAAACAGCGAAAGGCGCCATCGCAGAGGTGAGGTGAAGGTCTCGTCGACCTGAAAACAAAAACTGGCCCAGAAACGAAACAAACTTAAAAGCCCAATTCAAATATATTATTAAAATATATATAAATTTATTCTTTAAATTTTAAAACGATCCGATTTTTATATATAATTTTATTGTTTTAATCCTAAATATATCTAATCAATAATAGGGGCATAAATCTTTAGGATGTCAAAATGAACTCGCTCGTGAATAACCATATTTTTTCGATTTGGGTTGAGAAATTTTGAATCCGAAAAAAAAAAACGAGCGAACATGGCGAGCCAACTCGACTAAAAAGTTATTTTTATTTTTAATATTTTTTAAATAATTTTAAAAAAATTATCAAATTTAAATATTTTTTTAAAAAAAATATATTAATTGTTATTTTAAATTATTTTTATAATATTTAATATAAAAAAAATTTCTAGTTCGCCATACGACTCGCGAACTCGAGCGATCTGATCCGAATGCTGAATTTCTTAGTCCGAATAAAAACGGGATTAACGAGGTGGATTGAAAATGAATCGGATGAAAACGAGGTGTCTGATCTTGTCCGAGCCGACTCTTTTGACATGCCACGCATAATCAAGTTCAAGAGGTCGGAACCTCCATCCATACAACATATTACACATGGATTGTTTTATACCCGGTGTGCTTGGATATAGTTATTCCGGTTTCCAAACAAGGCTGTGATGACCAGTTTTGTTTTCTGAGTTCAGAGAAAAAAAAATGCTTAATAACCAGAACTTAAAGGCATATATAATGATGGGTTTGGATAAATTGAAAACAAAACTACATTAACATAACAAGAGACCAAACATAACAAAGCCTCCCTAAGTTACAACTTGTTAACCAGACAGAAGCGGCAAAGCCCAGAAACACCAAGAAAGCTACTGATAGATACTGTTACAGAGACTCCAAGAAACACAGCGTATAAGTCATACCCATCATAAAACAAGGGGGGGTATATACTACCTCTCTGTGTTTCCATATCTGCATCATAACAACATAAAAAGCCTTCTTCAACTGTACAAATAAGCTCCTCCACGGGTGAAAACCCCGAAAAATATGGATAAATAGCTTGGGACAGAAGTCATCTGATGCTGGTTTTCATGAGTATACGCCATCACATAAGCTATACATGATGCTGACAGGCTTCTTCGCAGTTTCTTTCCAATAGACTTTCTCCAGCTTTCCATTGGTCAGTGGCCGTGGAACGGTTTCTTGGCATCCAGAGACTTGTTGCAGAAGAACTTCTAGCTCTCCTGATGCTGCTGCTATCAGTCCTGCATGCATTAATGGCGATACCCTTTGTCAGATAACTAGCGGACCAAACAACAAGACATGACTTTAGGTTTTGGTGTTTGACCTAGAAACATAGGAGAAGGTTTTCCGGGTCTTGACGTGTACTCAGGATGGAACTGTGCTCCAACGTAAAACGGATGGCTACTGAGCTCAACGATCTGTATTATCAATGTCGAGAAGCATAAGCATGGAGTTTTTTTTCTGAAAAGTGATCCGTCAGAAGATGATAATGAATATGCGTATTACCTCCATACGTTGGCCCGTCTCGTCCTTTCCTGAGAATGAGAGTCCAGATCTCTCCAATCGCGGAACCATTGCCGGATTTACCTGCACAAAACGTTGTGAATTCGCTTTATCAGACAGAGGGTTTATATGAATCTGTTGACAGAAGTTGGTATATGCATCTAAAAGCCGGTCATGAACCTCGTATCTGTGTCTGTGCCTCTCATCAATGAAACTTTTGTTTCCATATCTGAAACAATCGGAAAACAATATGATAAGTTCCAATAGTAATCAGCGTTTTCGTTATGACATTTAAACTCGGACCGGTTGCTTACAGTTTTGCAGCTTTGGAGTCCTTAGCTTGGAAATATGTCCTTCTGGATCCTAACCTCATTGTGCCACCCATATGTGTTTTCGAGCCCTGCTTCATACCATTCCAAATAAAACTCCAAAATGAATACAAAAAATCAAGAAACTTGATAGAAAAAGTGTATCGATGGAACGAGGAAGATGTGAACCTCAGGCATGAGTATAACACAAGGATTTTTGGTGTTGGGATCGATTTCAGTGCTGTTTGCATCTTGCAAGCCGAGAACAGAACGTGCAAACTCAATCACTGCGATTTGCATGCCAAGACAGATTCCGAGGAACGGAAGTCTATTTTCCCGAGCATATTTTGCAGCGAGAATCTTTCCTTGTACTCCTCTATTGCCAAAACCTCCCGGGACAAGAACACCATCAGCTCCCTGAAGAGAAGACTATACGGATCAGATCAATCAAAAATTGAATTTCCCCGCATCATATAAGATGATTATTGTTTTCAATCTAAAGAAAGTTTGGTGCTTTAAATGAAAGATTCTGCAGACCTTGAGCAACTTCCAAGCCGCCTTAAACGCATCCGGGTTCTGCAAAAAACGCATCATTCTGCGTCAACTACAGACTTCTATAACTTTCACAGGTGACAGATTCTATATAACTTACCTCCTTTTTTGTTCCGTCTTCAAGATCGCTTGCAGCGATCCAGTCTACGACAAGTTTCTTACGCCTTGCCACAGAAGCATGCAAGAGCGCCTGCTCATCAAAATACGAGTGTATAAGCAATTCAATCACAAAAAAAAGGGCTTAAGATATAGACTACAAGCAAAGGTGTTACCTTGTGGACCGAAAGATAAGAATCCAAGAGCTCGGTATACTTTCCGACCACAGCTATTCTGACCTATAAATTCAAACATGACGATTAAGTCGGTAGCTCAACAATTGCGTAAACTGAATCTGAAATATCGAAAGGAAGGAAACACAAACAGACCGGGACATGAAGTTCGTCGCTTAGTTTAACCATGGAGGACCAGTCCTCTAATGCAGGCTCCTTGGCAATTCTGCATATGGAAAGATCACACAAAGATTCAGAGAAGAATCAGTACAGCAATACAACTTAGCTGCAGGAATCAAAATATTTTCGAGAATACAAGACGCACCCTTTAAGGTTCAACACTCGGATAATTGCTTCATGAGCCTTTTGTTCCTACTCGACAAGGAAAATGACACATAACCCAGTTGGCGGTGAGAACAACCGAGCTACGAGGCAACGGAAAATCACAGTGATAAACACAAAATGAGCTACTTACTTTGAGAAGCAAAGGAACATGCCAGATGTTAGGGCAGTCGTAAAGAGTGACAATGTTTTCCATCTGAAAAAAAATGGATCTTTCAGGCATTTTAGCTTAAAATGTTCATATGTTCCAATGAAGTAGAAGGCCATTGTCTATTGCAGATGTTACATACCGGAACATGGCAAAATTGAGAGAGTTTGGCCTTCACATTTTCCTCGAGTGGCTACAGAACAAAGTTGATTATAAGAAGTTAAGAACTCAAAGCCGACATTGAAGAGCCAACGTTAAACCAATGAGATTTATAAGGAGGAAACCTTTGCACTCCGGCAACCCAAGATATCTGGGGTCAAGCCAAGGCCTATTAGTCCTTGAACACTATGTTGTGTCGGTTTCGTCTTCTGAAAAACCCGATTAGATCATATCATTTGATTGGATTTGATTAGAACAAAAGCCAGAAGAAAATTGAGGACATGATGAAATCTAGGCTAAAGAAACTTGCCTGTTCACCTACTACATTCAAAACAGGCACAAGGCTAACATGGATCAAGCAAAAGTTTCCAGCACCTGAAATGTTTAAGCTCAACCCATGAAAGGACGTCATTGAACTGTGACAGTCTGAACCAACAATGGCAGGAAAAATCAACAGCTTAAGCAACATATATACTAACCTACGCGATAGGAGAATTGCCCAAGAGCCTCGATGAAGGGCATTGACTCTATATCTCCTGAAAATATCAGGAAAAAGTTCGAAGCTTTTAGCATATAACTGAGGGAAAATACTTAAGTGAAAGCAAAATCTTCTCTACGAGGAGAAATACCGATTGTTCCTCCAAGTTCTATGACGCAGACATCAGGGGGCCCAGCCTGCCCATCCACAAGAATTCTGGCGGCTCGTTCGATCCAATCTTGAATGGCATCAGTGACATGAGGGACAACCTACGCACCCGCAAGAACACATTCAATAACACCATCGATCTTATTCTCAAGGGCATTTCATCAAACAGATGATCTACACATTGTCTTGTTCTTGAATATACCTGGACAGTCTTTCCGAGATAATCTCCTTTCCTCTCTTTCTCAATAACATGCTGTCACAATTTCACGAGAAGCCCACGAATCAGAAGCTACGTTTCGAACACGCAACGTAAGAAAATGGTCGAGATCTTTCAGCAAACAAAGGGAAACATCCAACAAACCTGATAAACCTTTCCAGTGGTGATGTTATTGTCACGGGTCAGCTTGATATCCATGAACCTCTCATAGTTTCCAAGATCAAGATCAACCTTTTCGAACAAGAAACATCGATTACTACAACTCCTGACTGATAAAATTCAGAGACAAGTTTTCAATTATTAGATATTCTGTACCTCACCGCCGTCGTCCAAGACGTACACCTCGCCATGCTCAATAGGGGACATGGTCCCAGCGTCAGTGTTCAAGTAAGGATCTGTTTATTTACACCCCAAAAACAAAAATCAAGAAGCGTCGGTTACAGTAACGGCCGACAAATGAACAGAACATAACTTTTAAAACAGTTTTCAACTTTTCTGACAAATCGTGATGAAAAACAATACAAGTAATTCCGACAAGATATACGGTTGGCAAGAAAATCAAAATCTTGGGACTGTCCAGCTCTTTTTAGCTTTTCTTCTTTCTTTCGTGTTTTTTTTTTCTCTTTGGCCACCATCCAAACGCGCGCGCAGAAAAAGAGCGAGACTTGAAGATTGTGCTGAGGGGAAAAGTCAAGAAAAAGATAAAACCCTTTTCTTGATGTTTGTAACCAAACTGGGGCCAAGAAATCCCAAATATCAAAATCTGACATTTTTTTCAGATTTGATATCTTCAAGTTGGGGAGAAAATTCAAAAGCAAAGGTGGAAAAGGGGAAATACGGAAAGCAAAAAAAAAAGGGATTGGAAAACAGGCAGACGTCTTTACATTAAGAAAAACATTAGGGAAAAAAACAGCGGCAGGGAAGAGTAAAACATGTACGAAGAAGATTGAGATGGAAGAAGCGATACCAATTTTAATGGCGGTGACTCTGAAGCCGCAGGATTTGAGGACGAGGCCGATGCTACTGGCCGTGACGCCTTTGCCAAGTCCACTCACCACTCCTCCTGTAACCACCACGTACTTCATCTTCTTCTCTGGCTCCTCTGTTTTTCTCTTCTCTTTTCTTTTTCTTTCTGTCTTTGTGTCTTTTTCTATGCTTGTAAATATGAACTTCGCCGACCCTCTTTCTGGTTTTCTCGTGTCAGTATCCTGCCAAAAGAAAAGTGTGTTGAGTGACAAATTTTTGAAAGAGGGGGAGGATAAAGCAGAAACAGAGCATCGAAACGGAGGACATGCATCAACTTACACGATCACTCTAACATGAGAGAAACCCTATGTATCATCACCAACACATGCTAATTAAAATTTCTACTAAAAGAACGCAGACAACGTGGGAGAACTGTCGTCTTAATCTCTACCAAGTAAACCCATGTACGAAGAAATAAAGGAAGAACCAGAGGATCTTTTGGTCTCTTTCCTCTTTCATTACAGTTTCCACGAAGGAAAAAACAGAGAAGGAATCAGTAGACTACCCTCTTGAACCAGAAGATTATATATTAAACAATTTATATTTCATGTGGACTCACCTACGACATGAAAGAGAGACGCGAAGGAGGAGCAAATGGAATGAATGGGAAATGGTTCAAGGGGTTGCAGGCCTTTTATAAGCACCAGAACTTTGCAAAGGCTCTTAAAAATATTAAATATTCATTTCTTTGGAAATTAAATATTACTATATTAATAACAATCGATTTATTATTTGATGACAGTTTTACGATTTGTGATTACATAACTTATGTTCGGGTATGGATTTGTATTTGTACAATAATCTATACTAAAAATATTTTAATTTGATTTAATATTTTGTAATGCACTTTTGCTCAAATAGAGGAAATGTAATTTACTGTTATTTTTCATTTCGCCATCTTCTGCGATGGAGAAACCGAGACAAATGTCACAAATATTTTAATTTAAATATTCTGGATTTTTATTTTCCACCAAATATTCTGGACTTTGACTATTTGTTTACTTATTGGTGGTGAGTAAAATAAATAGGACATATATATATATTTATATATATATATATATATATAATGGTTTTTCTTTTTGTCGGGTCCAAAGGGGCTTTGAGCCCCGTGAGACTACCGAAATCAAGCAACGGTATTAACTAATGAAATTGTCTTTTCCATTTATATTCTTCTCAAAATATTTCAGTATTATTCTTTTATTTTTTTTTTACAATTATATTTGCATTATTCTACATCTGAAACCGGACAAATAATAATTTGTTCATTGTTATTATTGTTATTCGAATTTAGTAACGACTCACGAGATACTAAACTCGTGCCCTACCTTCTAATATTAATGTTTTCTAAAATTTATATTTGTCGTTTTAATATGTTGACTAATTTTCTACCCACACAAATGTAATGAATGGATATTCGAACTCTAGATGTATAAAAAATTTCGGAAAAAAATATGTTGTTTTTATTCTACTTCACTAAAATAAAACAAGTAACCGATGATACTGAGATCATATCATATACGGCATTATATAATGCATGTGTGATATAATATGCTTTAACTATATGAATTATATTTCATAAAAAAAACACTATACATAATTATAACAGAAGGGTAAAACATAAGTCTCGTACGTATGATATTTTATATGTAGTCGATCATAATGTCTTGACTTATGATGTACCCAAGAACTCTTTGAATACAAAGTTAATGTTCATTTGGATATGAATATGATAGATGTGAAGTTCAAGAATAGGAAAATTTTCCACATTAATATCTATCCATCGAATTATAATGAATCGGTGAGTTGGTTAATTTAGGATTTTGACATAATTAATCATCATTGTTGATGAATATCTGTTACCTATATATAAAATCGAGACAAAAATAACCTCTACAAAATAATGGATATGGTAAATAATTTTTTTGTTTTCAAAATAAATATCAATTAGAGTGCATATGTATATATATATATATATATATATCAATTAGAGTGCACAAATATGTATATATATCTGCGTAATCATGGTTTGGTAATGATAAAATCGTATATTCCTAATCGGTTGGACCAAAAAGAGTCACATGCAGAATAAAATGATCCGATCTATCTCCGTGAATCGGATATGCTAAAATTTGATTTTCATATTACTCCTCGGAAATATAAAAGTTTAAAATGTAAATTTATTGAGTGAAATTAATTAATTAAAGAATTGATAAATGAATAAATTAAGCAAATATATACTAAAATAAATAAGAAAACAAAGTAAAGAATGCATTAAATAAGAATAACCAGCGGCAGTTATGGCGTTTGAGATCTCAAATGATCATGTGGGTCCACATGCATTTGATCTTGTTGTGCTTAACAAGGAAACTAGATTGCGCAATAAATGCCTACACATTTTTCTTTATATATATATATATATATATCGTCTCATTTCACATTATAAATTTTGTTATATTATATACTATAGGGTATAATCTAATTTTATTTTTAATAATAATCTTCTAAAAAATCTTAAAATATGATATCAATAAATGTTTTATAGGAGTAGTTGGCATACAATAATTAATAACAGACTGAGCGTTTATTCATTTGGATTTTAATGGGTCACAATTAATTTGACTTCAAAATTATTGCAAACACAAAATCTCACAAATCCAACACAAAAAATAATCATATATAATAAAAATAAAATTTAATTAAAGAATGAATTTTTTTATAATAATTATGTAAATACAAAGGGAAAAAATATATATGTATATTGAATGTGCCATGAGATCCACCGAACTCAACGACTAATTGGTAAATAGACATTTCGACCCTACAAACCAAATTAACAAATACCCTACAAAAGAGTCCCATACGATATGGTTTACCACTTTCGCTGCTTTACCAAAAAATATATATATATAAAACGGTCCATGATCCTGATTTAATGGATATCAAAATAAATGATAAAATATTTTTTAAAATCTGTAATAAAGTTGTAGATATATATTTTTTTGGCATATAGTTGTAGATATTTTACTTCTGCGCAGCAGTGAAAAGATATATCCTTCCTTGCTTTGACTTCGGCGTTTATTTTGTTAGGATAAACTTTTTTTATTAATAATAATTATAATTCAAGAATTAACTTAAAACAACAAAATAAGAAAATCCTCAATTTTGGATTAGTCAAAAGGTTTCAAAGTCGGTTAACAATAGTCAATGAACCATCTTTTTCGAATTTTTGGCCCGACGTTGATAAAGGGTCATTGTTTAGGTTGGAGTCTTAAATTTAATTTCTTCGTTTATATACACTTGTTATTTAATTTGACTAGTATAAATCATACAAACGGATAAAATTCATAAAATCCATAGGCCTCCGTGAATATGTTATATTTATTTCTAGACCAATTAAAATCCCTTGCCGTAGAATAAAAAGTTACATGAAGGATATATATAATTTCATATAGGCCTCACGAGTGAATTATCCTTATTTCTAGATTAACTACAATCCCTCGTCCCGTAGAATAAAAGTTAAAGATATATATATATACATATATATTATTAATAGAATGATTTAAATACAAACAGAGTTTTTTTTAAAGTATAACTTGTAAAACAATAAAAGAAATCAAATGAATATATATAGGAAAAAATAAATAAACTTTAATACCATATAAAATTTTAAAATATGGATATGATGGAGCTTTTACTTTTAGAAAGTATAATATCTAGGATCAAACCGTTTATTAAATATGTAATAAAAAAAATAGATAACAAAGGAACCAAAAACAAAAAAACAAAACTGCGTGGAATTAAGAAATAGAAGTAGTTTTCATGAATCAAGAGTTTGCATGAGATTTTCCAACCGGAAGTCTCCATGTGGTTTGGTGTGAGAACGATGAGGCTGTCACACTTATCCTTATGTTGCTGTTTCAATAAACGTAAATTCTTTTTTTTTTTATCGGGTATCCTGGACAACCACCCAAACTAATTCCGAGGCCGTAAACTAGTTAAGAATTTAGAATATACGCTCTCTCCCCAAACTAGACGTAAATTTATTTATGTATATATATAATATATATATATTATTCTTTTAATTTCTCATTGCCTTTGAAAATATCATAGTTAACCTTTGTTAGTGTATTATTTTCCTTTCAATACTTACAATTTTAATATAGAATACTATAGTGGATCTGTAATTTATTTTCGTCGAGACAGTAATACTAATTTGTTTACACGTTCAAATGGTAAGAATAAATATCATATGGGTTTTTCCATCATCCGTGACATAAAATAATATATTTTAATTATTAATAGAAAAAAAAAACAAACGACTCGAATTTGAGAACAAATGAGGTATGAACACGAGAACTTTTTTTTCTTTTTACAGGAAGCAAAGTAATATTCCCCCAATATCCGGACCATAACAAATACAAGAAAAAGCTACAAAAAAAACATTTCCCTCATCGGATAACGAAAATATTGAAACAACGTACCGAAAGTGAGGAGATCGAAAGAAAATTATTAGATAAGATGGCGCCTATTATATTCCATAAAATTAAAATACTCAATTTATAGTTTTTTTAAAAAAAAGGAACGGTCAAAAGATTGGAGGATCCTTACGAATCAAGAAAACGTCAACAACGACCAACTAACTTACCTTCCCTCCGTCTCCGCGTGATATGGTCCCATTGCCGGTCGGTCCATTTTCACATTTTGTCCCACCATTTCTGCCACAATGTTATATCATCTATTTCTTTTTTCTTTTTTATTATATAGTAACAAAGCTAGAAAAATTTATTAACGGAGTAATAATTTTACTACGGGATCATTTAATAATTTTATTTAAAAACATTTATACAATTTATAAGAAGGTTATATATTG